TAAGCTATCTCTGAACCAATTTTTAACCACATCCGTACAGCCGTTCTTAAGCTATAAATAAAATATAGCTTAGCTAACACGACTTTCTCTTATATATATACTAGCTTTTGCCCGAAACTCTGTCATCCGCGTTATAATTTAGAAACGTATAGCTGACCTGTTTCGATTTAGAGGCAGTAAATAAATAGGTAGATTTTAAAGAACCTATTCTATGTCCGTTTCTTGATTGCAATCTATCTTTCCACAAATTACCAGCCAAATCCGTACAGCCGTTTGGCTAAAAATAGAATAACTAATACTATATATATATATATATATATATATATATATATATATATATATATATATATAAATGAACTAATACTATATATATATATATATATATATATATATATATATATATAAATCAATACAGTATTTAACACGTACTTATGTAAAGCAAGGAGAAAGTTCGAGAGCTCGTTTGTTCAAACAAATATTTACAGTGAGTAATTGAACTCCAGATCCCTCAGGAGTGAGGAGTGAGGAAACTCGTCATTATAAATTGGATGGTTTGAACTATATTTATATATTTTTACATTTGAAAATGGGAATGAAATTTTTAAATTTAATTTTAAATTTTCATCATGAAAAATCAAACGTTAGATATATTGCAAATATGTTCTTATTATATTGAAAATATTAGAAACGTATGAATATTTGAATGTAAAATAATTTTATATATCTGTAAAATATTACTCAATGTCACGATAATGATACCAAATATAGCGTTTAATATAAAAATGGCACTTTTCTAATTATTACATGCATTACATAGGTAGGTACGTAAGTTCATTTAAAATCGGTTTTATCAAAAACTATTTTTCATTTAATACTATCTCTGTTGTAAAAATATAACTACATACTTACATTTCTATACTTCTATTCTTTACAGCGCGAATCCTCAGTTTCTTACGACTTCTTGAGCTTCATGAAATGTTGCAAGATATCCTATAAAAATATGGTACATTTTTATCAATTCCCTTCTATAAAATTAACTAATATATGAATAGTAGTAAGCTAAAAAAAATAACGCTTTATTTCATTATGAAAATACATTTCAATCGCATTCACATTATTAATAAAATATATTGAAAATAAAAACAATCAACAATCCGACTATTCATATACAGGGTGACTGGTGAATTACTATCGATACTTGAGGACGTGATATTTGACGATCATATATGACGAAATAAAAATTAATATAACATAAATATTAATAAACTTCTAAGTAAAGTTAACCAAAAGTTATGTAATTAATTACGCATCGTGTGAACACCCTACAGATTAGGTATACACACACACACACACACGCGTGCGGCGGCGTGGTGTTGTTTCAGCACGCCACCGCACGCATCCACACTTGGAACACTTGGAACGTGTCCACACTTTATTTATTTATACGGAAATTTGGTCAAAAATTAACTACCTATTTTTTTTTTACATAATTCGAATGAGAATCATGTACCGAGTATTCTCCTTAAATATTGATAGTAATTCACCAGTCATCCTGTATAAAACATTTCAACATATCCGACACTTCACATATCCGAGTTTTCAACATATCCGACTCGTACATAACATCGAGAATCCAAACATACATACATCTGCGGTAATTTCAATATAATTTAATTCCAAATCCATAACAATCAGATTTCAAACACATTCACAAGTGTTGGGGGCGCTTCGTCACTCGGAAAAGACTTAACGCTTATTAGGGTCGGATATGTCACTTACATTACTTAATCCTGTAGACGAGACTTATTTCGGAGTTTATACTTATATATTCGCATTTAAATCTAATATGTATGTATAAAAGAAATTTGTGTTAGTTACGCTATTTATAAATGAAGAACGGCTGTAGGGATGTGCTTAAATTTGGTTATTAGATTGCTTAAAACGAGAACACGGATATAGGGTATTTAATTCTGTTCGATAGTAATAGAAACAAAATACTTAATAAATTCCAATATCTGGTTATTTACGGCCTCTAGGACATAATAGAGTTCGCCCGGTCAGCTATACATATATTAATAATTCGGAAATTAACGCGGACGAAGTCGCGGTTAAAAACTAGTATTATTATATATGGTCTCAATAAAATATGATTTCAATGTAAATATTTGTAACTATGTGTTATTTTTTATTTAATACAAAAATTCAATTGAGTCGTATGTACAAATGAACATGTTTTCAATTTATTTCAAGTGTTGTCAAATAATCTATAATCTAAATCAAACCAACAATATATCGATACAATACTAAATATATGTCGATACTATCTCGTTTGTCAACAAAGCCAAACACTATAATTTGTCACTAATAAACCATTTGCGGCTTAACGGCTTACACCCCAAATACAAATATTGACCATTATGTTATGACCCCTAGCTGTTAGAGCTTCTGTTTGCTTTGAAGCGCTTTGTTACTAGTAATGATCATATGACGTTCTCATTTTCACTATATTAATTTGTTTTGAACAATCGTAAAACAATATCATACATTTTATCTAGATTATACGAAAATTTAAGATAATATTGTAATAGATTACAGCGCAAAACGCGCAGGTCAGGATACATTGGGCAATGGTTTCTATGCGAATGTTCTCGTATTTCTGATTACATATTTTATTTAGAGCGAGACAGATGTTGACTTTTACCGCGAGGGAAAGAGATAGAAATATAAGTTAATGGTACACACATTATTCTGCTAGGAACGGGCAGAATTTCGTATGTGGAATAATTCTACAGGGCAATTTATTGTTTCATATATTCGTGCAATTATTATTGAAATTGAAAAAATAATACATATTTATCGTTTTATTTGTTCTATCGATATATAAATTTGAAGATTAATAATAAAATATTAATCCGACATCTAATTTAAACGCCTCTTAGCCATGAAATGTCTTGTTAAGTATTAAGTGATTTCCCAAACAATGGCGCGCTGTTGACGGAGATGGCGCCTTGCGGTGACAGGTGACGTCACTTCTGACAGAACGAATTTTGACCTGGCATTTATTTTTATTTATGTGGCATTCTGGCATTACGAATAGATTTTCATGATAAAAATATGGAATAATAAATCTTTTAATAGCTTGCATCGTTTCGGCTTTTAAGCTATTTTGTGTAAATAGACAATTGTTTACAAATTTACTTAGGGTTTATGTTAAAATAAAGAACAATATTAATCATCTAAATAATTTAAAGGATAAAAATATCCACTGTCCCTTAATTAATTACATATTTTTTATAATCTCAATAACTCAAAAGCTTTCGACGAATAAAAAAATAGATTCTTCAAACGTTTGAGGGACTTCAGAAATTCAGATTGGACATACATTTATATTTACTTGCTTTGAGTTAAAAGCAAACAATTCAAATTGAATAAAACATAGATTTGGCTGCAGGCTATTTTATAACATAAAATGATAGTAATAAGACTCAATTTTAATAGCATCAATATTTTCCACCAACAATGGTCGAGGGTTGAAAAGAAATTCAAGACAGTACATTTTTAATTTCAACTTTTTGCTTAATAGAATAGAGTCTATTTTTCGTTGAGTCATCTTGAAGTGCCAGCATGTGCCCAATCTCGTGTATGATAAGAGTAATTATGATATTGGCGAAGATTAGCCTTTGACTCAGCATTTAGGATAATGTGATGCCAAGATATGATCTGATATCGAGGGCTTCTGAGTACGTAACTGATACATCTTACAATATATTTGATTAAGCATGTATTTCCATTAAAAAATATTAAATTTCCCTTCAAAATACGTTATTTATATTGAAAAAACTGTTAAAATATATCATCTAAGCATTTTATTAAGCTAGTTTCTAAGCCTTATCTAAAAAACGATCTATTAAAATATATAGCTATAAGTCAGTCTTTTGGTCTTTCGGTCTTTTAGTCTTTTGGTATACCAAAATAATGGTTCAAAAGAACAATGGTAAATAAAATATCAACCGTTAAACGTCAACTTGGAAATGCAATCACATAATGAGAGCTTGTCGACTATTGTGATTGTATGGGCCAAGTTGCACCTGGTTCAAATTATACTGGTTATTAAGAAATATATAAAAAAATCAATTAATATATAAATAACAATAAAAAGAACAAATAAATATTATCTTAATATACAATAAGATGTACTAATTGGGTTGATTATAAAAATATGCTTCGTATGATTCAAACAAACCAAAAAATCGTCAAGTTATATGGGGTGACAAAAACCGGTGCAATTACAATATGCGTTCTCCACGCGACTACAACCCTAAATAGCCAAGCAAATAACCGTACTATTGTTTTAAAACGCTTAAGGGGTGCCATAACGATTTCTTTTATTTTTGTTTAATTAAAGAACATATTTTTTTTGATATAACAATCGCACGCTGGGTCCTTTCAGTCCGTGAGACCTTCAAGGTGTATGTGCGGTTAAATTCTGAATTGTTTTATTGAATTTTGTTTTTGTTTTGTTTGAACATAAACATTATTTAAAGGGTTCAGTTTTTGGAATTAAATCGAGGTGTTGTGATGAAGTCAAGATTAAGTTTTCATAATAGATTCATATTTTGAATGTTCCGTTTAAGTATAAATAGAAAGGAAATATTAAAGACTTGTATATTTAATAAATTGCAATCAGACGTTATTTCCAAAAAACTTAATCTAAATAAACACGTCTACTTCCTTAATTAGTAACGAAAGTGTAGTCTGAATGCGTATTGAAGGGCCCTTTCCCATTTCGTGCCATTCACAAAACGCAATCCGAACGAATGTTTGCAAACGATTTCTTTACAAAGGCGCCGCGACAAATCGAAAAGGGTACACCCCTTGCAATTTACTTAAAACAAGCAGACATCCATTGTGACTTAACCGCTGTCACAATGCACACGAGATTTCCGCCCACCACTGACATCTAACTAACAATGCGATCTCCGCAGGTACTTGTCGCGAAAATGCAGCCGTTCCAGTCCGCAGCCCGCCCCGAGGGCCCCAGGGAGTCTTCCCCCGAGAGGGCGAAGTCCCCCGACACCCCAACAGCACCCGTCCTCAACTTCTCCATCGCAAGACTCATGGAGCCCGACAGGAAGAAATCTGTATCACCAGAAATACCACCACCTCCAGGTTTTCTATCATACGGAGCTCATCTCCTGGACTCAGCTTTCAAACAGTACATACCAGCGGCGAGGAGACAGTTAGTATCACATTACCCGCTACTGTATTATGGACCTGACCTAGTGTCGCTGACTTACGCCCATCAACTGCATATGCCTCGACCTCCGCCGGTACAATCTCCTGTGCCGCGACCTCCAAGTCCAAGAGCTCCTGCCGCAGACCACGCGGTCTCTTCAACGACTGGCCCAACACCGTCACCAGCGAAAAATAAAAGCTTCGCCTGCGGTGACTGCGGAAAAGTCTTCAACGCGCACTACAACCTAACGAGGCATATGCCCGTACATACAGGAGCCAGGCCTTTCGTCTGCAAGATCTGTGGCAAAGGCTTTCGCCAAGCCTCGACATTATGCCGCCACAAAATTATACATACATCGGAGAAGCCACACAAATGTCTGACCTGCGGAAAGGCATTTAACCGTTCCTCTACCCTGAACACCCACGCAAGAATACACGCCGGTTACAAGCCCTTCGTCTGCGAATTCTGCGGCAAGGGATTCCATCAGAAGGGCAATTACAAGAATCATAGATTGACGCACAGCGGTGAGAAAGCTTACAAATGCAATATATGTAACAAAGCCTTCCACCAGATATACAACCTGACATTCCACATGCACACACACAACGAGCGGAAGCCGTTCACATGCAGTATATGCGCTAAAGGGTTCTGCAGGAATTTCGATCTTAAAAAGCACACGAGGAAATTGCACATGGGTGCTGGTAGTACTAATAATGATTCTTCTCTGGACACGCAGGACGAGTCGACCCAAGAGGCGACGACTAGTCCAGGGGAAGAAACGACAAGAGCAGCCTTCAGACCCTTCCTAGGATCAGCCTACCCTAGAATCCTGGACCCTACACGGATGACCGCCCCAAATACATTCTTCTCCAAACTATTGTGACCCGAAAATTACTTTAAAAACTATAGCGAAAGTAACGAATGAGAATTGACAATGGATTTGAGGATCGTATAGACAAATATATATACATATGTTTTGTAAATATTATAATTACATAGTAGGAACGTTTTAAATTAGAACAAATATATTTTAAGATTAAATACTTCACATCAATAATAAAAAATGCTTCTGCAATCTATATATAATGTATATACAAATAAATAAATTGCGCTGTTTCAAAATATATACCGCTGAAGATTTTAGTAGTTATACTTAAAATGTAAATATGTATGTATAAATTCGTCTTATAATTCAGAATATTGCATATATTTCTTGACATATCTTTCAAAATAAATATAACTATATGAAGAAGCAGTAAATTGGCAGACCCTGGCTAAAGCTGGGAGGTTGTCAGAAAGAAGAAGTAGTAAATTCTAATATAGTTATTTGTTTGACCAAATCTTACAATCCACTTACGATAATAATAAATCCATCTAATATGTACTTATTAAAAAAAGCTTGTAAAATATTTACCAGAGATTCTGTAGTTCAATGATTAGAATAGAGTTAAAATTACTTATTCCCAAATTCTGTTAGAATCTAGTTAACAGTAACGGCTGGTTAAATTTACCGTTAAAAATTAACTGTATATATGTTAGTTTAAAACGCAATATGGGTGTAATTATATTGAGATTATAAATATATATTATCGAAATGTATGAAGTTTTATTTGTTTCATAATTATTATGTACTAGCTTTCCGCCCGCAGCTTCGCCCGCGTGGAGTTCGATTATATGGCGCTTTCAAGAGAACCTTTCAAAAGTCTGAGATAAAAGCTATCCTATGTTCTTTCTCAAGGTCAACTCTATCTCAGTACCAAATTTCATTAAAATCAGTTTAGTGGTTTAGGCGTAAAAGCGTAACAGATAGACAGACAGAGTTACTTTCGCATTTATAATATTAGTAGGGATTATTTACTTATAAAAGAACAAGTTCAAATCCGACGGTTACTTAAATCGTTACCAAATATATATTTAATAATATACATACATATATAGTAATTTTCTACCCCATTAAATAAAGATTTACCGTTTTCGCAGCAGGAATAAATTCTGAGAGGTCGATAAGTGTTCTTTGTCAATGAACAAACCCTAAACGAAATTAGGTTACCCAAAGTTTAGTTTAATCCACATAAAGAGTACCTTTAACACAAGTATATTGAAAACCGAAATACTGAGAGTCTACAGTTAAAAAATATTCGCTCTGTATTTAGTCTTACCTATATTACAAACATGTGGTAAGTAAATATTAGTCTTAAATCCACCAAAGAATCTTCCAATCATTATGAATTCATTTGATTAGTTAAAATATAAAAAATATTATTATAAATAAAAAACAAAAAGGCAAATATTTTGGGAATCACTGAACCGCGAAAATAATATGAAATACGAGATTAAATTTACAAATAATAGAGTATCGCACTGTGCTTTTGTAAGCAGGAAACTCGTGCGCATGTACCGCCTCCGTACCAAGTAACGGACTTTTGACTAACAAATGAACAATGAACTATTGTGACTTTGATTATAACTTGAAATACAATCGAAACAGGGACCGTTGATTTGAAATGACTCCTTATAAAATATGCTTTAGATTGTTTTATTAATATTAATATACTATTTACTACTAGAAAACTAGCAATACTATAGTATAAAGAAAGTATAAGTCAGTGGTGGCCTAGCGGTTAAGAGGCCCGCCTTCTTGCGTCAGGGCGCGGGTTCGATCCTGGAAAATACCAATGTGATTTTTCCGAGTCATATGTACTTACTAAGAGTACCTATTTAGACATCACTGATTAATGCATTCCCAAAGAGGATTGATGTCAAGCAGGCGGCCGGTCGTAAAAACAATCAGCCAAAACTATTCACAATATGTAAGGCAGACCCTAGCAAAAGCTGGGAAATTGCCAGGAAGAAGATATATGTATAATACAATAAAAAGATTAAAAACAACTTCATTTGAACCAATCGATATTTATTACAAATTTAATTTAATTCTATGCTATATTTTTAATAAAAGCGTGTGTAATTAATAAAAGGATTTTGTAATAAGTGCAACTTTCTACTAAAACCATTCTGAAGTAAGTATAATATAAATGAAAGTAATATTTTCGGAAGTACTACGTTTTTTATTGTTTTAAACTACATACTACCGACGTTTCGGTTACTTTGCACCAACCGTGATTATACAAAGGAGATGGGAAAAAATGGGTAGTACATACGAAAATATTAATTTTATTTAAATGAATACTCGTGAGTCTTAGATCTCATTAAAATACCATATGTTTATGAATGCCGCCTGGCTGTGAATTCATAGAAAAATAAAAATTTAATTTTCTACAGTACTATGGTTATTACAAAAATAATACGACATACTTAAATATTATATGGTTTGTTCTGAAGTTAATAATATATGTACAACATAAGATTTATAAGAAAAATTTCATTTATTATATAAAATAGAGACGAAACTTCTCATCATTCAATGTATTCACCGTGCGGGTGTCGGGTCACTCGTTGCAGGGAGAGGAGCTTCAACAGTGACTGGGACTTGCGACCCAGGTGTAGGTTTAAGAGCCAATTATTTATTATACAGGGTGACTGGTGAATTACTATCAATATTTAAGGAGCATACTCGGTACATGATTCTCATTAGAATTATGTATAAAAAATAGGTACTTAATTTTTGACCAAATTTCCGTATAAATAAATAAAGTGTGTACACGTTCCAAGTGTTCCATGTGTGGACGCGTGCGGCGGCGTGCTGATACAACAACACGCCGCCGCACGCGTATGTGTGTGTGTGTGTGTATACCTAATCTGTAGGGTGTTCACACGATGCGTAATTAATTACATAACTTTTGGTTAACTTTACTTAGAAGTTTATTAATATTTATGTTATATTAATTTTTATTTTGTCATATATGATCGTCAAATATCACGTCCTCAAGTATCGATAGTAATTCACCAGTCACCTGTATATAATTGGCTATGCTCATATTAAATTTAAAACACAGAATGGACTTGTATTTTTAATATATTTATATAAAGTGTTTTTCAATAAAACAGCTATTAGGGAGATTAACAACAGAAATTAAGAGTCAAATAAGGGTGATTTCATACTCAAAAGACTAAATGTTGTATACCAAACTCTTTAATCAACGAAATTAAGCCTATTTCAGAGGATTTTTTAAAGAAATTTCTGCTGTTTTTATTAGTTATATAGTTATTATAATTTTGATAATTATTAATTACATTTTTGTGCATAATATGACAAAACTATTTTTGAACTTTAAATGATATAGGTTATTATAATAAATGTTTGTCAGTCAAAATTAAATAAAATTTATAGAAAAAATAATTTCTTTCTCTCAATTTTATAAAATAGTTATTTTTTTATTCATGAGAAACTTTCATTTACTTTGTATTATATTATAGGTAATTAATAGGGTTTAGAACAATATTTTAAAACTTATTTTCTGGATTTTTCTTAAACACATTTAATTTCAATTACCTTATATGGTAATACATCATTCTAGATCCAAAATAATGGATCACATTATCTTCTATATATATAAAAATGGATTGCTGTTCCTTAGTCTCGCTAAAACTCGAGAACAGCTGAACGGATTTGTCTTATCTTAGTCTTGAAATGTTCGTGGAGGTTCAGGGAAGGTATAAAAGGTGAGAAAAATTGGAATAATTGCCGGGAAAACCCTAAAAACAGCCCTTTTCTATTTCCCATACAAACGCTTTTTTTGACATTAGATTTGACAACTAACTAATATGTCAATCATTCTGTTTGATTGAAACAGGAAAAACCTGATTATTTATGGCCTCTAAGACGGAATAGAGTTCGCCTGGTCAGCTATACATATATTACTAATGACGAAACTAACGCGGACGAAGTCGCGGGCAAAAACTAGTATTTAATAAATATATTTAGTTTACTATAGCAAAATCATATTTAATAATAATAATTACTTTATTAAAAATATAATCCGAAAAAATCTTTATATCAAATAAGGCTGTATATATACAAATATGTAATATATATTAGGTTTTGGCAGACCCTGGCTAAAGCTGGGAGGTTGCCAGGAACAAGAAGAATATATAGCTTTAATTAAACAGAAAAGATTCTTTCTTGTATTTTAATAATATATGTATGTATAAAGAAATAAATAAAAGATAATGTTTTGGTTGTGTTTATAATTATTATTAACTATTAATGTTTTTTATACATATTTAAGTAAAAAGAGAAAGCTTTGTACAGAGATTTATTTCGTTTATTGTGTGATAATGTATAAATCTTTATTTGAAGAACATATATGTATTTTTATATGTAATTCTTCAGGAATTTTTAATGAATAATAATAATTTGAGATTTTGGTGAGTATTCATTTAAATTAAACTAATATTTTCGTATACTACGCGTTATTTCATTATTTTAAACTACATACTTCCGACATTTCGGTTATTAGTCCATACTGATCACGACTGACAAGATTTTAATAATAAAATACGCTATCCAAAAAATATTACTTTTATTATTAAATGAATCTTTTTATATCTAATAGGCATTAATTTAGTTCGTCAATATTAAAACGGAAAACATCTTGACGAAACCTGGACTTATAATTTCACAGTTATAAGTTTGAAATCACCAACCCGTCTTGAGCGAGCGTGGTGGTTAATGCATTCCCAAAGAGGGTTGATGTCAGACAGGCGGCCGGTGGTAAAAACAATTAGCCACAACTTTTTACAACATGTAAAGCAGACCCTGGCTAAAGCTGGGAAATTGTCAGTAAGAAGAAGAAGAATAGTGTTAATGTGGAAGAAAAGCAAGTAAGTAAAAGTGATTAATATCTCTAAAATTTTTCTATTCCTCGTTTGTGGTTTTCCTTGGATTTATAATATAAAACTATTTAAAATTCAACAAAATACAAT